ACCAGGTGCCTGGAGGTGGGCCGGGGGATGTTGTGGCTTTGGGGGACCATGGGGAGGCTTTGTGCACGCTGACCCCATGGCCCAGGGAGCCCTGCCTGTGCAGGACTTGGCCCTTTCCAAGATGAGAGAGACATGACTGGCTTACAGTGTCCAGGAATGGGACAACTGTCAGGCATGTTTCCTGCTGGGACTCAAATTAACAAACCAGAGGTAACCTCCAAGCTGGAGGAAGCATACTGGCTGCTGGAGGGAAGATTCTAGGATTCCAGGTGTGGCACTGTCCCTACTGGAGATGGGCAGCTGAGGAGGCCAGTGAAGTTCCAAAGCCCAGCCCAGAACCTAGGATTCCAGGTGTGGCACTGTCCCTATTGGAGATGGGCAGCTGAGGAGGAGGCCAGTGAAGTTCCAAAGCCCAGCCCAGAAGTCCAGAGAGGATACCTGCCCTGAGGCTGGCTTCTTCCCACAGGACCAGGGTCTGCACATCCAGTGCCTGTGACAGGGGCAGAGGAGGTCGTGCTGGTGCTAGTTCATGTCTTAAGGGGTTTTTGTTTACCATTGAAAAGAAACCAGTGGGGTTTAAAAGAAGAAGAAGGACATTACATGAGTTTCAGAGCCTTAGAGAGTCGCCCAGGCCTGTCTTCAGTGGCAGTTCCAGGTACTTCCGTGGCCCTGGGCCTGGGCTTTTATTGGCCTGAGTATAAACTTAAACTTACCCCCCTCCTTTTTATCCTTTTTATTTAAAATTGAAGAACTACAGTTGATTTATTACACAATTTAAGGAGAATAATTCTATTTTATATCTCTGTTTATAAAAGCAAAATATATCTTTGAAATATACAAAAAAGCAGAAAGAAAAGAAAATCAGCCCTGGCCCCATTAGTCAGGGATGGACAATCAGTTGACATTTTGGTGTATTTCTTTCTGATCTTCTTGTTATGCATAATTTTGGAGTTTTTTTGTTTTTTGTTTTTTTTCATTGTCGTGGTTATGTTTTACATGCAGTTTTGTGGGCATCTCCCTCCATTATTGCAAAACTGTGGTGACCATCCTTTCCTATGGCAACTTGACAATGCTTAGCCATTTCTCCAGTGCTAGATGTTTGGGTTAGTTCTGATTTTCCCATTTAGTAAATATCATAGTGGTAAAAAAGTGTCCCATCTATCTCTGTGGAGGAGAACAGAGAAGCAGAGGTTTGGGACAACAGTCAGGATAAAAATCTAGGAAGGAATAATGCTGGGGTCAGGTGGCTCCATTTTGTTGGGAAGGGCCTCTGAGCATAGCTCCAGGACATGGCAGAACCCAGGGCCACAGGATGGCTGTTGCAGGGGGTAAATTTCCTGAGAAAGAACTCTCTGGCCACAGGAGTGGGTGTGATGGGCTGCTTTGACGCCATGCGTTCCCTGTTACAGTGAGTATGTGAGGAGAGATCCTGTAGAGGGAAGACATTCCTACACCACGAGGTCAAATTGGGTCACCTCTTGAGTCCACCCCAACTCTCAGGTTCCATGAGCTTTCTCTGAAACCATCACAAACCCCTCAGCCAGTGGCGAACCAGCCGTCTGGTTAGTGGTCAAAGGGAGACAGCCTGGAAGAGAAGGAAGAAACTTGAACTTGGAGCCAAAAGACATAATGTGTTCTAATGCCTTGGCCAAGTCACATTTAATTGTCTGATGTCTCAGTCTCCTTGTCTGTAAAATGAGATAATAAAAAGGGTCAACTACAGTTGACCCTTGAACAGGTTGAGTTTGAACTGCATGGGTCTACTTATATGTCGATTTTTTCAGTAATTTTCAAATATATTTTCTCTTATGATTTTCTTAATAACATTTTCTTTAGCTGACTTTATTATAAGAATACAGTATATAATACATATGCAAAATATGCGTTAATTGACTATGCTATCAGTAAGGCAACAATAGGCTGTTAGTAGTTAGGGTTTTGGGGAGTCAAAAGTTAGACTCAGTCTTTTGACTACCCGAGGGTTGGCGTTCCAAACCCGTGTTGTTCAAGGGTCAAGTGTACTCATCCTGCCTCACTTACAGAAGTACTGGGGACAATATGAGGTTCTGTACGTTGTAGCCTGCAATCCTCTACACATCAAGCTGTCATTATCAATAGCGATGGCAGTAGTGCTGATGATGACGACATACCACTGGGGCCAAATACAATGGCCCCTGCTGCCCTGGGCTGCACTCCTGGGCTCTGGCACGTCCCATGACTGTCTCTCCATACTCACTTTTGCAGATTGATGCTGCCTCCTTGATTGCTGCGTCTGTGATGGCCGCCCCTTGTGCTTTGGCCCTCTCCAAGCTAGTCTACCCAGAGGTGGAGGAGTCTAAGTTCAGGAGTGTGGAAGGAGTGAAACTGAGCTGTGGGTGAGCACAGCAGGAGGGCCCGCAGAGGGACGAGTGGTGGTGGTGGACGGTGGGGACAGGAGCAGAGTGGGAGCAGCAGTGGGTCCCTTTTTGTCTGCCCTTCCACCAAGCCCAGGCCCACCTCTCCACTGCCCTTGTTATGGTTTTGTTTACAAAAACACGGATTCCAGTTTTTACATCTTAATTTCCAGCCTTGGAACTAGCCAGAAACAGTGGACTGCTCAAGGCATGGGACAGTGGCCTGGTGCGTGTGTAGTGAGGACAGTCATGAAAAGGCTCCGTGTCACCTTCTCTACATGCCTTGAGCTCAGACCATCAATGTGTCAATCACATATTGACATATTGAGCGCCATTGTGGATTTCACTCACCTCCCAATATCTCTTCATCATAGTCTTAACAGCAGTCCTGTAACATTTAATCCTTTAAAAATGTTGAAAAAGGCACCACTTTTGACAAGTGTTCTTGGGGTAGTGAATGTGGTGGTGAGGTCAGGCCCATCTCCAACTTCCTGAAGGCCCAGAGCAGCGCCGTCCTGTGGAAATATGTGATACATATCTGTAATTTAAAAATTTCTAGTACCATCTTTAAAATAGTAAAAAGAAAGAGGTGATTTTGATAAAATATTTTACTTAACCCAATACATCCAAAATGTTATATTGTCATGTAATCAATATAAAAATGATTAATAAGCTATTTTACATTTTTTGTACTAAACTAAAAAAATCTAGTGTGTATTTTATACTTACAACATATCTCAGTTCTGAGCAGTCTCCTTTCAAGTGCTCAAAAGCCACGCGTGGCTAATGGTCCCTATCTTGGACAGCTGTGTGCTAGAAGTCTGAGTCCTATCCTGGTGCTGGGACCAGCCCCTTTCTCTCAGGGAGAAAACAAGGACCCTCGGCTTCTTCTCTGACCCTATAAGATGGAGGGCTCTGTTGTTTGTGGGGATAGGCCAATAAGGTGGCTCTTGATCCCAACAACAGAGATGCTCAGAACCTCTTAGAAGCCACCAGCAGTGGGGCTGCCGTCTCTGTGAGGATCATAGCCAACATTGCAGCCAACCTGATTGCCTTCCTGGCTGTGCTAGCCTTTATCAACGCTGCTCTTTCCTGGCTGGGGGCCATGGTGGACGTTCAGGGACTCAGCTTCCAGGTATAGTTTTGGTTGCCGCATTTGCTCTGTGGAGGGGGCGGTCTCCAGATGGTGGGTGGTGGTTGGATATCCAAGAGACCCCAGGCCAGCCCAGATCCCAGCAGCTCCTTTTGCCTTATGCCTCAGGTCATCTGCTCCTATGCCCTTCGGCCTCTGGCCTTCTTGATGGGTGTGGCCTGGGAGGACTGCCCAGTGGTGGCTGAGCTGCTGGGGATCAAGCTGTTTCTGAATGAGTTTGTGGCCTATCAGGAGCTCTCCCAGTACAAGCAGCGCCGCCTTGCGGGGGTTGAGGAGTGGATTGGCGCCAAGAAGCAGTGGATCTCCGTGAGTATCCCGGTCCCCTCCCTGAGGCAGGGGCATGACACAGATGCTCTTCTGGCTCTCTGCCTTTGCTGAGACACACTGAAGTAGCCCTCAACCCCCGACATCCTACTGCTGTAGGCAAGAAGATGGCTTCAGGCTTCACTGCCATCACCTTGAGATCTCTTAGAAGGCTGATGAGTGGGGAAGGAGCCTTGTTGGAGATATCTGAGATCTAGCTGTAGGTGGGCCTCCATCCTGTGTGGCTTTGGGACAGCCGCTGCTCCTTGCCTCTCCTGTTGAAAAGCCCTATTGGATTCTGGGAAAAATTCCTATTGGAAAACTGGTGTAGCATCTGCCACGTCCACCCCAAAGGAATAGATGTGAGTGTCCAGTGAGCTGGAAGTGAAGAAGGGAGACCTCACCACTACATCACCATCAGTACACTGCATTCAGTTCAGGGATCGGCTCTTTCTATTATCTTTTGTAAAAGAATGAAAGCTCTATGTAAAATCATTGGGAATGAAAAAATTACCCATCTCACCATCCCGAAATAACAGCTGTTGTTGCCTTATACATTTTTTCTATACTTTTTAAGAGAATTCACATAGCTGTCACTATAGCATTCATACTCTATTGTCGCCAGCTTTTCTCCCACCTACTATTACAACGTAAGCATCATTTCGATATCTGTTTCCTCATATATTTAACCAATTCCCTGCTGTCAGGCCATTCAGATTAATTTCAGTGTTTGGCAATTGTATATGATGCTTAAAGGAATAGCTTCATGCACAGAACTTTTTCCTTCTCACAGATCGCTCCCTCAGGAGCTTTCCCAGATGTGGGATGACTGAATCACATGCCACGAGTCCCCATGTGATTGCTGCCAGTAACTTTCCCAAAGGGTTGTAGCAACTGAAATGGCCCTGGGCTGTGCCTGTGAGCGTTGATTTCACCATACACTGAACAGTATTGAGTGGCCTCTTTAAAAAAAAAAAATGCTATTTGAACAGGCAAATAATGCCTCATTGCTTTAATTTGCATTTCTTGGGTTACTAGGAACTTTTAACATGATATATTTTTTTCTCGTCTTTTTTTTTTTGTTAAGGAATGTACTCTAGTGTTTTTAAAAAAAGGTTTGTATGGCGTAAAAAGCACTGGTTTTCCCTCTCTCCTCATCCTCATCTCCAGTCTCACTCTCTCCTCTGGAGATGATGGATGGTACATTCCTTCAGGACATTTTTTTTTTTTTTAATGAACTTCATTCCTTCAGCAAGTATTTGTTGAGACCGCTAAAGTGCCAGGGATAAAAAGGGAAATTACACAGACATAGTCCTTGGGATCATGAAAATGAAAGACAGATACAAAACACAAGAAAGCAAAAGAATAAAAAATAAAATTACCACAATTCATGGTAAGTTCTCTGAAGGAAACAAGGAGAAACAGAGAAGGGGTTTTCCTTGACTGATCTGGTCAGATAAGGCCTTCTCGCAGTGTGGCATTTAAGCTAAGTCTTGGAGGGAGGTAAAGGGGCCAGGAGAAGCTGGGAAGAGCATTCTAGGCAAAGAGGCACGTGCCAAGATCCTGAGGTTGAAAAGCACTTGTTTGGAGAAACTGAGAGTCAAGAAGTGCAATTAGAGAAGGTGGTAACCAGTCGTAAAAGAGAGTGGCCCAGGCCAGGCGTCTTAGGAAGTTACTGAAGATTTGACATGTCACGTTCCTCGGGCTGCTGTATGGAGGGTGCTTGTAGGGGAGCCAGCAAGATGCAGGCGCCTTAATATTTTTTTTGTCAATTTGCATAAACTCTTTATGTTAAAGGCATTAATCCTTTTCTGTTATATGTGTTTCTACACATATTTTTCCTAGTCTTTTTCCCCCCTTTATTTTGTGTTTATTTTGTATTCAGGGATTTTTCTTAAAACGAATTTTATACCAATCTTTTCCTTTATGGATATCATAGAAAGTTATCTCTATTCCAGAAATCTAGTAAGTGTTAAATTCCTGAAATAATGTAGTGAAGTGTTTAAACGTATGAGTTTTGTGGTCAGAGTTGAGTTCAGATGTGACACAGCTGCCTTCCTGCTCTGCGAACTTTCTCAGTTACCTGACCTCTTTGAGCCTCAGTTGGCTTCTCTCCAGAATGGGTTACAGTACTACCTTATAGGTATAATAATCACTATCCTATGTTTTCTATTATTTGTTTAAAATGTTAATTTTTATCTGCATCTTTGATTTAGAATTAATTTTTTTATGTGGTGTGAGGTATGGGTCTAAGCCAATTTTTTTCTTACAAATTGTTCCATTTTGACTCTTAACACTTTTTTCTGAGAAATTAAACATTCACAGCAAAAGAGAAGGAGAATTATTTTGCTTGAACACATACTGTACACCTGATACTTCCCATACATGGTAAAAATCCTTAAGACAGCCCTTCCAGGCTAGAGCTATCATCCCCACATTCCAGATGGAGAAGCCGAAACATAAAGAGGCTGTTGATTTGCTCAACCTGATTATAGGTGGGGACAAGCCTGGAACCCAAGTTGGTTGGGCTCCAAGTCCCTCACTGTCTTCACCAGGCCACACTCCACCCTCCACCTTCAGCATGACAGGAGCCAGAGGGCTCTCAGCCCAAGAGGTTCACAGTAGACAGATGGCAAGATGGCAGAGGGCTGGGATAGGGCCACCCACGCGAGTGCCCCCTGGGTCCAGAGCTTGGTAGGACTGAGAAAGCCTGAATCATGCCCAGAAAGGCTGGAAATGAAGCTAAGCAGATTGAAGAGCTCTGTGTTTGAGGTGGTGCAGCTTGAACGGACTTAGAGGTAGGTGGCAAGGCCAGGGCGGGGGCAGCACTGAACACTTCCAAGGTCAAAGACACAGAGCAAGTGGGTGACATTAAGGCCAGGGAGCTGGGTGGTGTCCGGTGCTCCCGTCCCATCTGAGGGGACCCCCTCCTCACCTGTCTTCTGTATTTTCAGGTCAGAGCAGAGGTCCTCACGACATATGCCCTCTGTGGATTTGCCAACTTCAGCTCCATTGGAATCATGCTGGGAGGCCTGAGTGAGTCCTGGAGGGGCCTCCCCAGAGTGCTGGAGAATTAGGGACCTAGATTCCAGTCCTGGCTATGAAACGCCTGCCCGGAGATCAGTTCCCCCATTGGTGTCAGGTGGGGCCTGAGCAAGATGGCCATGGAGGCTTCTCCCAGCCCAGGAATTCCGTAATTTCTTTGTTGTTTGGGCTGAGGGACAGGGCAGGCCGGGCCTGGCTCAGGATGTGGGGAGGCATGAGAGGTACGGTGCTTTCCTGTCCCCTGAGGCTCTGGCCTACAAGTTCCTGCACCCACTGTGGACAGGCATGGCAGAGGGTGGGGGGGTCCCTAGGGAGGAAGGCTCCGCCCAGCTCTCAGCTCTTTACAAAACCATTTCCACTCCTCACACTCCCCCTGTCTGGGGTGTAGTCATCCCATTTTACAGAGCAGGAAACTGAGTCTTGGAGAAATGAAGTGATGGCCCAAGTCACTCGGCTAGCAAGTGGCCGAGCCTGTATTTAATCCCAGACTGTATTTAATCCCTGACTCCAGGCTCACGTTCTTTTCATATGTCTGCCACTTATGGTGTATGGGGAGGTGTGGAGTGCTACCTATAGGCCCAAGTCAAGCCAAGGAGGACTCCCGCCCTCAGCCAGTGGTCAGGAGGACAGCGTCCATCCCTCTGGCCACCCAGGAGAAGAAGGGGCGTCAGCAGAGACAGCCAGAGGTGCAGAGCCTGGGCAGAGAGGCCTGTGGTGTCCTGGCCCTGAGCTCTTCTGTACCCTTGCAGCTTCCATGGCCCCCCAGCGGAGGAGCGACTTCTCCCAGATTGTGCTCCGGGCACTCTGCACAGGTGCCTGTGTGTCCTTGGTGAACGCCTGTGTGGCAGGTCAGTCCCTGCCTGGCTGAGACCTGGCTTTGCAGCTGGCCCCAGGGCAGGGCTGGGGGCTGGGGCTCTGGCCCCTGGAAGTCCCGGGGACAGGAAAAAAGGTGCCCTGCTCACCGCTGCTTTCCCTGCGTAGGGATCCTCTACGTGCCCGGGGGCACCCAGGTCAACTGCACAATGCTCCTGAACACCACCCTCAGCGCCAGCAGCTTTGAGGTGTACCGGTGCTGCCGAGAGGCCTTCCAGAGGTGAGGGCCTGGGCTGAGGGCTACGGGGCACTGAGTGACGATGCAGAAGGCCCAGGTGCCTGGGGGATGCCTTGGGCACCAGGATGAGAGGTAGAAATATCTTGGCTGTGACTGATGTGGCCGGGAGGAGGAAGTGGGGTTTGAGAACCAAACTTGGGGAGAAAGGGCCGAACAGAGACATGGAGCAACTTCCCCCGGGTTGCACAGGCTTTAGAGGCCGGCGGAGCCCGTCCTGCGGCTCAGACTGCAGCCTTTCCTTTTCCTCAGCACCAGCCCAGAGTTCAGCCCACAGGCCCTGGATAACTGCTGCCGGCTCTACAACCACACCATCTGTGCATAGTGCGGACAGCATGCCTTTGTGCCTCTGGGGGCTGTTCTTTCCCAAGGGGCAGCTGTCCCTACCTTTCCTTCTCCGGGCCTCTCCTCTGGGAAGCCACAGGGCTTAGACCCACCACAGTCACACAGCGGGAGGATTGGCGGGGCAAGCGGGTGGAGACTGAGTGGCTGTGTAAGTGAAGGGTGCCCCGACTCCTCACCCACTTCCTGCTCCCCCATTTCCTGCCTCCCATGTGAGTCCTCAGGGTCCCTTCTGCCTCCTTCTCTCTCCCCTTCACATCCACTAGCACCCTGGTCTTCTCCAGCCCCCGTCGTGGGTCTCTCCCAGCACCCTTCCCTTCCTGTATGGCCCCTCCCCCTGGCACTTTGGCCCCTCCTTCTCTCCTCTCTGGGCACTTGAGTCTTGCTGGGGCTTACCCCTGCCCCCTGCCCGAGGTTTGTCCTAGAGACCCACTCCTTTACTTTCAGAGATTACTCCACTGCCTTCCCCCACGGCACTTCCCAAACTGGTGTCCTGTGGAACACTGTCCCACGATGTGTGTCCAGAAGCTTCCATTTTTCTCTAGGGTTGGGGAACACTGGGCTAAATAAAGTTAGACAGTTTGGGTCTTTCTTCCTCCCTCCTTGCCCCCTCTCCCTGTTCCTATGAACTTGTCAGAGCTCGTTGTGGATATCATAGGAGACGTTTTCCAAATTTATTTGAATAGAAGAACCTTTTTGATGGAAGCATCTTTTAGTTGAAGAGTCCATGGAGCACAATTTGGGAAATATAGGTTAATGTTTAAACTACTTCACATAATTCTACTGCTCACAAATGTTTACATAGCACCATGTGCCAGACACTGCTCTCAGTGCTTCATACATTCTAACTCAATCTTTACAACAACCCTATGAAGGCAGGTACTATTATTATTCTTAGCTGAGGCCCAGAGAGGTTAAGTAACTTGCCCAAAGTGACTCAGCTGGGGGGATGAAGAAGCAGGATTTGAACCCCGACCATCTAGTTCCGTAAGCCGTGGTGTTTAATGTCTTCGCTGGGCTGCTTCCAGTCAAGGAGCTCGGTCGTGTGCTTTCCCTCAGCTCCTTCCCTGCCCCTTCTCCCACCCCGACACCTCTGACCAGCAGGCCAGGCTTCTGATGTGTTTGTTCTCCCAGCCCCTGAGCCTTCATCTCTGGACTTCGGTCACCCAGCACACCCCCTCCTTCTCCCTTTGTCTGTGCTGCTTCTATCTCAATTCTTAGGTCCCCGGTAGCTTTGATTACAATGACGTGCACTGTACCTGTCCCTGTGGTCCCTGGGCCCCTGTACCCACACCCCCTCTGTCAGGTCAGACTTCCCAGGTGGGAGCCTGCACTGGCTGAGGCAGAGGGAATATGAGGCTCGTCAGCACTGACCCTGCTCGGTTCCAGTCAGCCAGGTGCTGCTTCTGCTCTGTCACGGACTTTGGTTCTACTGGCACTAGTCTTTCTCCTTGAAACCTCTGCAGGCTGCTTTGGGGTTCCTGTCCTTAGGGCCCGAGTCCTTCCCCTTAGCTGTGCAGAGTGGAGTCTTGGCCTAATTGTCATACCCCATGGCCAGGCCCTTGCCGTGTTCTCTGCAGCTTCCCACTCAGCCCCTATCCCTGCCCCAGCTTCCCTTGGGCTTCACAGGATGTCCTGCTGATACGGACGACACAACCGTCTCCCAGCATCGGACCCTGGGCCCCTCCCCAGCCTCTCTGCTGGGTCAGGAGCTGCCTAAGGGCCCCCTTCCCGGCTTCCCTGGCCTCCCTGTTCACTCAGCACATGGCCAGTCTCATTCCCTGAAGACCGTGAGCCCCAAGGAGACAGGGCTCACGGTGCTCCAGTCTTCCTCTCAGCACTCAGCACGGCGTTGGGCCCGTGAAGCGTGCTGGAGGGAACGTGCGTGGAATTGAGTCGCACCTTCTCTCAGAGCCACCAGTGTGTACACCACTGCAGGAGAGTAAATGTACTGCGGTGTGACTTATGTCCCCCCAAAAGATATGCCCACGTCCCAACCCCTGATCCCTGCGACCGACTTCATCTGGAAATAGGGTCTTAGAGAAGTAGTTAAGTGTCTCAACATGAGATTGTCCTGAGTGCAGCTCTTTGTGAGAAAGGAGAGGGCAGTTTGAGGCACACGGGCAGAGACACGGAATGAAGGCCATGGAAAGATGGAGACACAGATGGGAGTCATCAGCTGCAAATGGGCCCCCCCGTGGCGACAAGCCCAGCCCGGCTGGAGCTACCAGAAGCTGGAAGAGACGCAGAAGGAGTCAGAGGGAGTGTCCTACAGATTGTGGACCTCTGGTCTTCAGAACTGTGAGAGAATAAATTTCTATTGTTTGAAGCTCCCACGTTTGTGGTAATTTGTTATGGCAGCTCTGAGAAATTAATACAGGTATCTTGAATGGGATCCTGGAATGGAAAAATAACATTAAGGGAAAATTAATGAAATCCAAATAAAGTATGGAGTTTCGTGGATAACACTGGGTCATTAGCTGTGAGAATGCACCATAGAAGTAATGTGAGGTGTGAACGTTAGAGGAAATGGCGTGGGATGCGTGGGAACTGTGTATTATTTGTACAGCCTATTTGAAAGTCTAAAACTATTCTAAAATTTGAAGGTTTATTTTAAAACTGCATGGAAGAAAACCGTCTTGACACAGGTGCAAGGTAACTTATATTTTAGCCTGTGGGTGGCTTTGTCCTAGACAAGGCGTGTCTCAGTGGACAACCCACCAAGGCCTGTGAGTTGCCCAGTGGGCTGCAGCTACTCCCTTGCCCCAGCTTCTTCCCATGGCCCTGCTGTCACCTCTGCCATCCTCAGACTTTAATTCAAGCCCACACCTTCAGCTGAATATAAACTAGTCCTGACTTCTTTACAACCACATAAAAAACATCATCTGCTTGGAATTATTTTTGAGCCAGAATTAGTGAGCCCTGAGTTTGGACAGGACCCTAACCATCATTTTGAGGGTATCTGCCCCTTCACTTTTCTGAGAATTTTTACACCCACAGCATGGATGTCTCTGTCCCTAAGCTTTTATGTTTGAATCATGGGGCTTCACCCGCATGACCGTCGCTGACTGAACCAGGACTGAACTCCTGACTCAGGGAAAGCCAAACCCAGTCTTGCCGATGGCCTTTCAGATTCTTAGGAAAGAATTTGAACCAAAAACAAACAAACAAAAAACCAAAAGGAAAAAACAACAACAACAAAAAACCCAGAACCAGAGGTGGGAGCTGAGTCACCATAGTGGGGCTGGCCCGGAGCTGGTCGCATTCTCACTCTTCCTGCAGCCGAGTCGCTCAGCTTTTCCTTGGATTCATCGAGAGCTGAATTCTCTCCAGAAATCCTAGGAACCTGAGCTACTGTGTGAAGGTCCCCCTTACTTTGTAACCAAAAGGATCCTGCCTAAGATAGCCACATTGTTAAGCCATTCAGAACAAGTCCCAGCTTGTGTGTATCTTTATTGTTCTTTTTTTGTTTACCAAAGTAATGCTTGCTCATGGTATTTTTTTTTTTTTTAAGTCAAGTCTTATCAAAACCTTATAGAAATGTTCTAATCTGTTTTCCACATTGACCATGGAGGCTTCCCTTCTCTGAGCAGGAAACCCTTTGTTCTTCCCTTTGTCTCTCACATAGTACATAATAGTTTCAAAATTTATCCCAGACCTGATTCTTCGTTGTTCTGCATTCGTGTGCAGACAGTGCATGAGTCATGAGGAAGTCCAAGATTGAAGCCAGAGCACTGAGTGATAAATGTGATCTCATGGGTGTAACTCAAATGACGGGATGGGACTAAAGACGGACATAGCCTCGGGAGGGCATTGAAAAGAGGCAGACCGATGAGGAGAGAAGAGTGTTAAGAAGCTACGTGCCTGCTTCGGAAATCCTCAAAGCCAAGGACTTCCGCGTCGAGGGTGAATCGTGAGGAGGAGCGGCCCCTCAGGGAGATAACAGGAGACGGTCCTGGCCCACGTCCCAGAGGACATCAGAGATAGGCTATGGCAGGAAAGGGGAAGGTGGGACCTTGTCTCTTGGGACTCCTTCTTACCAACCAACAGGAGTGCAGCAAGGTCCGCACTTGCCTGGGTGGCGCTCTCCATGCCCAGACGTGGAGGGGGATTGCCGCTCCGACCAAGTCCTGACCAAGATGTGGAATGGTGAAGTGGAGCGGTCACACCGACATAGACTTTGTGGCTGGGAGTGAGGGCAGGCCGACACAGCAGGCACTCCACACCCGAGGATAAAGACGCTCAGGAAAGAGCCTGGGAGGAGAGTCAGCTCTGGAATGGAACTCTGGTTCTGCTGCGGCAAAATATCCCAAATGAGGAAGCGAAGGCAGAGGCGACAAAAGAAATCGACATAGTTATAAATGAATGTAGGAACCTGGTTTAGAAGCTCAGAATTTTGAAATAATAGGCACCAAAATCTGACTGAAGGACACGGACGCTCAGGAAGAGCCTGGGAGGAGAGTCAGCTCTGGAATGGAACTCTGGTTCTGCTGCGGCAAAATATCCCAAATGAGGAAGCGAAGGCAGAGGCGACAAAAGAAATCGACATAGTTATAAATGAATGTAGGAACCTGGTTTAGAAGCTCAGAATTTTGAAATAACAGGCACCAAAATCTGACTGAAGGACACGTGACTTAGTGTAGGAAAGAACCGATTGTCCTGCAATAGTCAGTCATTCCCCCTTTTTTCCTTTAGTAATAGCTAATATAGTCTAGTTGGGCAAACGGCCTCCTAGCAAGGACTGTCTCCCAGCCTTCCTTGCAGCTGGGTGTGCCCATGTGACCAAGGTCCAGTCAGTAGAGTGTGAGCAGAAGTCAAATAGGCAGCCTTTAGATCATGTCCTCGGAGAAGAGGTCAGCAGACTTTTTCTCAAAGAGCCAGAAAGTAAATGTTTTAGGTTTTTTTGGCCATATTATCTCTGTTGCAGCCACTCAACTTAGACAATACTAAAGCAAATGAGAGTGGCTATGTTACAGCAAAACAGTATACAAAAACAGGTGGCCAGCCCACAGGCTGCAGTTTGCTGACTCTTGCCTTAGATGAAGGGGCTCATCCTCCATGTCCCCCGGTCCATCTCACAGTCCTGCTCCATGCCCATTGGAATACAAATGAGAAGGCGAGCCCTCGTAACCATGGAGACAAAGGCAAGACCCTAGGGATGCAGCCACGACTTCGAAGGAGCCTGGGCCCTGATGTCTTTGTAGAGCAAGACTGTCATGACAGTGAGACCTCGTGAGAGAGGAGTAATGTCTGTCTCGTTTATGTCATTCTTTGGGATCTCTGGTACACACACGCTCCTAGTGGACAAGAAGAGCAAGACAGGACATCTTTGCTTCTTTCCTGCGGGGTTCCTGATGGACAAGTGGAAAATAAGGTAGTCTTCACCAGGTGCCCATCACCTGGTTCTCTGCATCCCTGGCTCTCTGGTTTATTCCACGGGAGCCCTACACAGGGCCACTCCCTCCGGCAAAGTCCACATCTGAACTACAGCGCCCATCGGCCACCAAGACCTAAGAGAGGAAAGGGAGTCCCGATACCCATGTGAGGAGGCATGGAGAGAGAGCCAGGTAGCCCAGCTGCAACGTTTTCCAATTTAGCCTCATGACAGGAGGGCACCAGAAAGAGAAAGAAAGGAGGGGTAAGAGAGGGTCTCCTATGGGCTCCACATCTCAGGCTCCTGGAAGCAGGAAATGGAAAAGAGGTTGATCTACTGCACCTAACCTGCTACCGTGGCCCAGCCGATGGTGTGGATGCTCACCATTTAGATCTGTGTTCCCTCCTTGCAGTGAACAGCAAGATGGAACTGGAAGAACATCACTCCCCATTCCTCAACCAACTCCATCCACCCAATCTGCTAAGCGTTGCAAATTATGTTCAGAACAAAAAAAGAACAGAGAACGGATAATCCCACAAGGACTGTTTGGAACAGATTTCAAAGCCTAACACAGGTTATGTTGCTCTCTAACTTCTCTCTGTTCGCCTTTCGTATCTTTTCAAGGTGGGACTCCTTACTTCTTTTCTGCAAAGTAAGACAGGCCGTAAGTGACAGGTCAGAGCTGTTCACAGGACTGGGAATGCTGCAAACCCTCCTAGATGTCGGTAAAAACCTCGCGTCCGGTGACTGCATGTGCTTAAACCAAGACAGAAGAGTCTGCTGAGGCTCGAGAAGCTGCAGTGTGGCTGCTTCTGTCACCCAGCTCCAACTGATAGAGGACACATTTTCCCCCAAGCAAAATGTTTTCTGTTTTTCTTTAAAAGGCATGTAGGGATGGGATGGCAAACTCACTTTACAAACTAAAGATTGCTTTTATCTCCTGGAACTTACTTTCTCAACAAGATCCTTTTCTACTTATAGAGATACCACTTGCTTATATTCTAACTAAACTGGGATACCCACTCTTGGCACCTACAGTGTAAGAGGGCTTTCTACCCCAAGGCTGCCATGTTGTGAGGAAGTCCAAGCCATGCGGAGGGGTAACAAACAGGCACCGAGTCAACCTTCCAAACTGAGCCCAGCCTTCAAATCATCCTGGGCAAAATGCTAGAGATGAGTAAAGAAGCCTCCAGGTGGTTCCAGCTCCTCGCCATTCTAGTCTTCCCAGCTGAGGCTTCAAACATCAAGGGACAGAGACAAGCCATGCCCGTGGTACCCCATCCAATAGATGGTGGTTGTGTGATGCGACAAGGTTTGGGATGGTTTATTACAAGCAGCGGGTACCTGGAACAGCTCTGGAGCAGGCATCAGAGATGTCTGGTTGTGGAGCATTTGGAAGAAGAGAAAGATGAAACTGAGAATTGTCTTGTATCAATAAAACAGCAAAGTAATGTTTCTTCCCAACAGGGGAACAGTTGCAAAAATGCCGACAGCTTCAGGCTGCAGTCTCCCTTCCTCCACCAGGTGGGGTGGATGCACTGGCCACTGCCTCCGGGCCATTCCCCACGGCGCGGCGGTGAGAACAGTGAGAACGGGTCCCCTGATGTCGCAGTACTATGGATGGCCCCACCCCAACTTGGCTCTCCGGCTCCCAGGCTGCAGAGGGCAGAGCCTCTGAAGAAAGGTAGGTCCTGAAAACAAAATCCCCTGGCGGATCTGCCACCCCACTGCAGGAACCACGCTCCCTGCAGTGGGAACCCCTTCACTGCAGACCCTGTGCTGCATCCTGGAAGGAGAAGGAAGAAAGGGGGGGTCTTCGAGGGCAGTAAGGAGGGAGAAGGACAGACTTTCACCCCAGAAGGGAAAGGGCTAGAGTGTAATTAGGGCCAGAAAGTGAGGAGAGGTCCCATGCCCTGATTCTAGGCAGTGTCCAGGAGGTGACAGGGCCTTGGAGGGAATGGCATCCAGCTACACTCAGGAAGGGTGGACCCTAGGCACAGAGCTCACACCCCAACCCCATAATCCCCACATCCCAAGGGGCTCAAAATCAGCAAGGCTCTCCGAGGCCAGAGGAGACACAAGGCTGGGACGGTGAATAGTCTTACAGTTACTGTTGTGACCAAAGAGGCCATTTTGAGGCCTCAGTACTGCCTGAGACTCTGGGATCTTGAAAAAGCTTCGAGATTGGAGCAAGGCAGCTCAATGACATGCCTGAGATTGAATCTCTTGCCAGTTCAGTGGGATAGTGGCTTGGAGTCAGATTTAGATTAAATTAGAAGAAAAATGAAGAAATATGCCAAACCACTACAGCTTTGCAATCCCTCAGGCAGACCATAACCACACTGCTCACTCCCATCTACCAGCAAGCAAGTGGCGACTTACACAGGAAGTTCTCTGTGACCTGGAGTCAGGGTTTTATATACTCCCTCCTCACCGGGTTAGATGCCCACCAGTTGTGTACAGGGATCTGTCAGGGAACTCCCAAATCCTCCATCCCGAGGTCTTGCTAGAACGGGCTGTCAGGGTGATCTCCGACCAGAGTTGATGGGGAAGCAGGGCGCAGTTCTAGAAGGGGGGAGGACAGTGCCCACTGGTGAGCATATGGCATGGGGCAGGCCATCCTTTCACAAAGAGGCCCATCACCCATATGACAGCAGTGGGCAAGACTGGCTCATCTTCAACTCCGGTGTGAGCAGGCAGGGGTCCGGCTGCATTCCCAGCCTCTATTAGCCAGGGCACACCCGTCCACCGCATCATGGGATTGAACTGCGACAAGAGCTGGACAGTAGCCAAGCTGTGCGAGGGCCCCTAGGTGTTTAAGAGGCAGTTAGCCCACTTGGTGCTTTCAGACAAAATGTCAGCTGCTCATCATGGCTCACGAGTAGGGTGTGATCCAAGCCCTGATGACCTCGTTATCTCCAGCCACTTCCCAGCGCTGTCCCACCCCATCCCAGCTCCAACCTCACTGAGCTGCTTCTAATCCCTTGAAAGAGTCGTGTTCTCTCCTGCCTCGTGGCTCTTCCATGCACTACTCCATATACTGGAACACTCCCTTCTGTCACTTAGTCCGTCTTACTTATCCCTCAGGACCCAACATGGTCGTCTTCTCTAGGAAGTCCCCTCAACGGCCAACTCTGCATTGAGAGTCTGCTCTAGGCCCCCCAGAGCACCCTGATTTCCTGTCTCAGACCTTGATGTGCCCCTTATCCAGGATTGTTTGTCCCGTGGGTTAGTGCGTAAGCTCTCGGACACAGACGCTGTCCATTTTGTTTATCGTGGTATCTGCAGCACCTCATGTCTGATGAGGGAGGAGGGAAAGGAAAGGACGAGAAGGTCATTGCCCCTCTTTGCCTTCCCCAAAGTCTTGTGACTTCCTTGCCTGGAAGCTCTTCCATAAGGAAACCCAACACCTGGCCTAGCTGACACCTTGGTCGGGGTTAAGGAAGGTGCGTCTCCAGAACCCACAGTGTCTTCTGTCTGGCTTCAGGACAGGCTGCGGCGAGGACACAGGGGATGGCTGGCAGCTGCGTTGCCGAGAGGAAATTTCAACTGTAGCCACACAGAAAAATAGAGGTCACAGCTGAGTGGAAAGACTGCATCGGTGTGAGGTGAGATGAAAGAACATATTGTAGGACGTCCAAAAAGTGTCCTTCAGGGAGGGTCCATGCTCTTCTGGGGTGACCAACTCATCAGGTTTGCCTGAGACTCTCCTGGTTTTAAAACTCAAAGTCCCGTGTCCTGGGAGATCTCTCAGTCCTGGACACACCAGGAGAGCTGGTTGCTTCTCTTTCTCCATGTGACTATGAGAGAAGCCAGCTTGGAACCATGAGATGGGTACCACGTGCTGGGGATGTCAAGGCTAAGCTTCTAGAATGGCACTGGCACAGTGACTTCAAGTGGCTCAAGTTGCCCTGAGTCGGGATCCCCTGAGCTGGGATCTCTGATGATGCCCTTTAGGCTTTGTTTACCAGACAGAAAAATAAGCTTCTGCATTGTTTAAGCTTCTGGTTTTTTTTTTGTTTTTTTTTTTTTGTTTTTTTTTGAGTTTTCTGCCACAGCAGCTCTACCTAATCCTAACAATACAGGACGAGAGCCTGGACGGGTGCTGGGGTGTTGGAGGCCAGCTCCGTTATGCTGCCAGTCGTACATGTGGAGGGGTTAGTCCCGGAAACGTCCAGTATCTTCTATAGAGGACCTCAGGGGCCGCCCCGGGAGCGAGGGGCTGACCTTATGATGGAGTTTCTACCTCACCTCGCCAAAGGCGTCAGGGCTTCCTGCTCTCGTTTCCTTTGACAAAATGGTTCCTTTCCCAAAAAGCTGTTTGAAAGCCTTCCGTTTTTAAAGGGATGGTGATGGCCTGGCGAGCTGTCCCACTCTGGCCCTCCCCCTCCTGGCTGTTTAGCCACTTCTCACCCCCATACGTATGAACGGCACAGAATCCATTCAGACAGACGTGATAATGAATCAAAAAGAAAAAGGAGGTCGAATCCTAGAAAATGTTGCATAAGCCTAAACCTCAGGAGAGACCAGGCACCAGGTGGTGAGGCTGGCAGTGGCCCTGAGGGGACTTGCTGCTACAGGTACCTCTCCAGGGGCCACCTGGGGAAGGAAACCTCCTCCTGGGGGTGTTACATCACACCCCAGGTGGCCTTTGTTTCTAACAAAGCACTGCCGTTCCTGGAAATACTGGCCTCAGGTGCACCTGTGCCACCCAGGAGCTGTCCGGGTGTGTGGGTGAGACTGAGTGGGCTGTCGGGCCAGGGATGAGGGCTCATGGGGTTACGTACAGATGCACATTTCATGAACCTGGGGGCCAGGAGTTCCCTTCTTGCCCCACTGTTGGCTGGTTTGGAGGTGCCAGCAGAGCCCTGTGCTGGAGGAATAATGGGGACCAAGATGCCCAGGGCAAATAGCATAGAACAGGGGGTTTCTGAAGGCACACAAGCAAGCAGAGCTGGGCCAGCTCTCCCAGCCCAACCCTCGAAGTGAGGGCCTTGCTGTATCTCACTTCCTGACCGTGCCTCAGTTTCCTCTTCTGCAGCATGAGGAAACAGGAAAGCCTCCTTCATGAGCGCTATGAGGGTGGGGTGCAAAAACTCAGTCCCAGACCTGGTTCGGTGTGGCCGGGCTGGTAGTTGAGGCCTAGCCCTTCTCACAGTGTCGCAGTCCAGCTGTCAGTCAGGGCTGCAGTCCTTTGAAGGCCTGACGGGGGCTGGCGGGTTCACTCCCAAGATGGCTCACTCGCAGGGCTGTTGGCAGGAGGCCTCAGCTCCTCTCCACATGGGCCTCTCCCTAGAGCTGCGTGAGTATCTTCACCATATGGCAGCTGTCTTCCCTAGCGATCCAAGGGAGAGAACCAGCTGGAAGCCACAGTGACTTTTATGGCTAGCCTTGAAATTGCACACTGTCATTTCTGCAGTTCCCTAGTGTTTATACAGGCCAGCCCTGTTTAATGCTGGAGGGACTATACCAGGGCATGAGTACCGGGACGTGGAGATCACTAGGGCTATCTTCAAGGCTGGCACCACAGTGACCTGTCCTGGAACACCTGCTCTCTAACTTCTTGTTAGAGAAGATATTGTGTTACCTATTGATATTGCATTGCTTGTAGCCCGAAGCATCCTGATCCCTTCCCGAAAGTCCCTTTTTGGCTTAAGGTGGCCAGAGTTGATTCTGTGACTTACAGTTGAAGCCCTTGACTGACACCACAGAGTAAGCCTAGCCTGTCAGCCTTGTTTAGGGCAGAGGGAAAAGGGGCGGGCCGTTGGGCGCAGGCACCCTCTGTGACTCTTGCTCCGAGCCTCACAAGTCTGGCTGGGCTTTCTGGGCTCCAAGAACAAGTGCTGTGAGGGGAGAGAAAGCCTACTTTAGCATGCCTAAGTGGTCCTGGTGAGTTAAAAATAAAAACAGGAAGAAAAACGCTTACTGTAATGACATGACTAGTTCTGTCCTGGCCAAGTCTCTGTGGGGGGACGGAACCCTTCTCCTTCTTGCTCTCCTGTCCAAGAGTCCCTGCTTAACTTTGGGACTGGACTCCTTCCCGCAGAAATCCCAGGCTCTGTCCCTTGGATGGCCAGCAACCAGAAGAATCTCTCAGCTGCCACCGGGGTCCAGGACACCACCGAATTGACACAAGCCTGCTCTCCTCCCAAAGGTAGGCCAGAAAATTCTATTCACTGAGTTCTCTGCCGCCTTCCTGTGGGCACTGGTGAGCTTTCACATTTCAGAAGAAGGAGGTACCTTTCTGAACTCACCCTTCTGATCTCCTGGCTCGGCTGTAGCTGGGAGCACATAGTCGGGAGGCCCACTGAAGCCGGCAGTGTTCTGCTGGGCGCAAGGGCACACATCCACAGGGGCAGGCTGCAGGGTGGGAAATGGTCTGGGGTTGCCTTCATCCAACCCCCAACTCTCCTTCAACCCAGGGACGTGTGGGTGAGTGGGAAAAAGAATCATTTCTTAGCAACAAGAGCTGTTTAGCACTGATCTCCACCACTGTGCGAAGGGCGTGGGCAAAGAAAGGGGTGTGCTGGGAGAGAATGCAGCAGACAGGGGGCCTGGCTCCGCCATACGCGTACGCTGAGGCCTTGGACACTCCCCCTCTCGCCCAGCCTTGGTTTTCACAAAATGTTGGTTTTCATAAAGGACGGGTGGCCTGCTAGGTAAGGTGGAATGCTTTTGGCTGCAGATAACAGAAGACCTAACTAAAAAGAGCTTAAACAACAGAAATTTATTACACCACATAACAAGTTCATATGTTGGGTGGTTCCTGAGTTTAATTCAACAGCTTTGTCATTACACTTGAGGCAGTGATGATGCTGGTTCTTTCCATTTTCCCACTCTGCATCCTTGCTTTGTTGTGGTGGTCTCAGCCGAACCTGCAGTACCTCTGAGGTATGCCTCTGAGGTATTACCCAGGGATCAGGAAGCTGCCATATATACCCCAGGAGCCCACACACCTCATTGCTGAGCTGCTGGAGGTGCCGCCCCCCATGTCCATCTTACAGTACTGCTGCCACTAACTCAACTACAGCCCCTGCCACTGATGCTGCCAGAGTCCGAGTGGCTTTTCTCTTCTGCTGCCTTCTAACTTCTAAAGTGCCTCCACTGGCCGAGCCCTCTAGAAACCCGCTGGCCAGAGCAGTGAGATGGAAGAGAAAGGACTGAGCTCTCAACTGATGCCATGTAGAACAGAACATAAAAGATGAAGGTCAACAGCATAGATTTCAGAGTCAGGGAGGCCTGGGCTTGTGTCCTTACTTTGTGACCTTGAACCAGTCACCTCCCTTGTGTGAGCTTTAGTTTATTCATTTGTAAAATAGGAGTGACAGCACACCTATCCCGGAGTGCTGTTGCGAAGGCTCAAGAGAAAATTCTTACAAAGAGCTTCCAGCACAGCAGCCAGCAGCTTAGAAGGGGCTCAGCTCCTGAGCATACCCTGCTCCTTCCTCTCCCTTCAGGACCTTTGTACTCTGTACTCTCTCTTACCTCTGCCCGGAACATTCTGTCCCGTATTGCTTATCTCACTGGCTCTGACTCATCCTCCTAGTCCAGCTAGGACAGTTTTGGTTGCAAGAGACCGAAAACTAGACCCAAAGAGGCTTAAGCAAAAGCAGACATTCTTGGTTGTTGAAGCTGAAACGTCCAAGCAGAGTTCTGACTTCAGGTATGGCTTGATCAGGGGCTCAACCAGTGACACCGACGCTTGTTCACTCTGGATTGGCTCTTGCTTCCATCTCTAAATTAATTTCTGTGGCCAGGGAAGCGGCACAGGCTAAACGTGCCACCCAGGTAATTGGAGCTGATACTAGGGGTGACTATGATCTCCCAGAGGACAATTGGGTACAGTCATAAGAAGGATGAATGGGTGCTGGACGTGAGAAACAGCTCTCTACTCCTGTGCCAGTTCAGGAACAACTTCCTGGAGCTCACTGTCCACAATTAAGTCATTTCATACTGTGATACACACTCCGAGCTCCTTGTACGTCACAGCACTCGTCAGCTTATAATTATAGTCTTGTGAAGTTGAATGATGCCCGTCTCCCGCCCCAGGTTATGAGTGCCAGGGGCTATTTTTGTCGTTGTATCCTCAGTGGCCAGCCTACTGCCTACACACACTAGACACTTAGAACAGTCCATGGTGAAGGGATGACTCTGGGGCCCTGGTCATGAGGAGCCCCAGCCTGCTATGCTGACTTTTTTTCCAGCTGCACTGCTACTTAGCTCAGACTCTAATCCCTTCAAAGTCTTCTCCCTTCTGCAAGCAAGTTTGGGGACACTTACACAGGGCACACGCCTCAGAGTAGAGAATGACAATTTTCCCAGGGGACCTGAGTGGCCTGAGACCCAGAACTTTGGGCCGGTGATTTCAGGCCAGTAGAAGTGACCTGATGAATCAAGAGAGAAGCCAGAGGAGACAAAGGTCACTTTGGATTAAGGGCTTTAAGAGGAATGATTCACGATCATTGCGGCAGACGTTTAAAAAGCTCGCATACTTTTGGTGACCAGAGTGCCGCTTTGCATTTTGCCCACATTTGTCCTGGGAATGAAACAGCCCTCAGCTGCTCTGGGCTTTATCATATTTCACTTTCCGCTTCTCATGCATCGGTAATGTTTGGCTCCTCAGTTTCCTATATGTAACACACTCTTGCCAAAGCTGACCTTCGTGGAAGCCATTGCACTGTAGAGGAGTCGGGTTTTGCTGTCAGATAGGCACAGTTTGCAACCTGGTTCTGCCATCCGTATCCTGTGTGACCTAGGTCAAGTTACTTAACCTCTCTGAGCTTCTACTTCCTCTCTGGTAAAGCGAGGATAATAATGCCAACCTCACAGGTCTTTGGGGGGATTTAGATAGGGACATTTCTATGCAGTGTGAGCTCCAGGTTTTGCCTCAGGTTTGGCAGGATGGTGGAACGAGTGGGAAGAGACACGTGTGCTGTTTGAGGGAGGAAAATGGGGAAGCCACAGGGCTCTGTTCTCTCTTAGTTCTGCCCAGAAGTGGCTGCGAGTCTGAGTGCTCAAGAGAAACTCTGCGGACAGAAGCTGGAAGGGCTCATTGCCCAGATATAAGCCCTGCAAGACACAGGGCACGGTGCAGCTTTAGGGCCTGCAGACAGTGTGAGATGTCATGTGTGTGCGTGTGTATGTGTGCCAGGGAGGAGATCACGAAGGAGGTGCAGGGTGACCGACCAGGCCAGTTTGCCTGGGACTGAGGGGTTCCCGGAATGCAGGACTCTCAGAGTTAAAACCAGGAGAGTGCTGGGCAGAACAGAGACACAGCTGGCTACCCTGTAAGTATGCCTTTTCCCACTTGTGCCTGGACCCCAGAGGACTTCAGCACCCTGAGGACACCAGGGCCTCAGCCTTCACAGCACCAAGAGTCAGTGCTCGGGGCCCAGCGACAGGGCAGTGATGGGGTGATCTCACTCCCTTACCTTAGACACACCCTCAGACACTCCCAGAAGTAATTGGGTGAAGCTTTGTTGAGGGGCTGGAGACCTGCATTAGTAGAGGAAGGAAAAGCCTGCAAAACGTGGGTTTTGACGACGGCGGAACCCCCAGTAAGGCCCAAGGAAACATGGCTTCTATACAAGGGCCAACCCGGTGCCTGGCACTTGGTATGACTTTGTCATTGAATTTTCTGTCGCAGATAGTCTATAGTACTATTTTTCTCCTTTGAATTTGGACACTTTAGAGAAATCTATCATCTTGATAACTTTGGACTTGATTTTAGATATCTTGGGCATAATGCTGTGTTACCTGCTATGAATGATACATTTTATCTCCAGTTCCATTATCTGTCCTCTGATTTCTAAGTCACATCTCATTGCCTTTTCGGAACATCTAGACAATGCTGATAATAGCAGCAATGGGGCTGGCCCTACGTCTTATCTCTGATTCTATTAGTTAGGATCCTGTCAAGTGGCTCTTGGTCTTCGGAAACTCTTTAGAAATAGACCTCTTGAGTCCCAGCCCTGGGGAGTGTTCTAGCGCTTCACTATTAAATACATAGAAAGCTCTTGGCTGGAAATACGCTTCATCATATTAAAGAAGCATCTTTCTATTTTTAAGAGTCTTTATAAAGGATGAGTGTTGGGTTTTATCAAAGCCTGCATCAGCCCGGGTTCCACAACACCTCAGTGTCTTTGTCTATAAAATGGGGGTAGGGGGAGAGGATTGAGGGGGTGCTAGTAACCACTCCCTGGGACTGTCATGAGGAATAGTGAGCTCACATACATGAAGTGTTTAGGAGTGAGCCTAACATAGTCAGGCCGGCAGATGTCATCGCTGTCACAGGTCCCATCTCAGGGCTGTCTTGACACACTGCTCTCCTTCTCCAGGCCAGGAGACCTTGTGTTCCTCCTTTGCTTCTACCGTCAAGAAGGGGTGGCCAACAGAGATTCTGCCCCCACAAGCCAAACACTCTTTTCAGGTGGCATTTGGCTGAGAGCCACAGGTTGGGCAGTTGTGAGGCCAGATGGTTTGGGATGAGTCTCCAAGGGAAGGGCCAAGAGTTGGAGGACATCGGGGGTCTGGCTCTGCCCCATCCAGCTGTGTGACCTCAGCACTGTTGGGAGGGGAGAAGCCTGAGATGCAGGAGTTAATAAGGTCATTTTGAAGAAGGAAGTCCTCACTGGGTTGTGGGTCCGAGCTCCAGGCGAACCACAAATACCAAGGTCTGCAGCCAGATAGAGTAGAGAAATGCAGCTCGCCTGAATTCTGGAAGAAGGAGTGTCCTAGGGCCTTACTCCTCTACCAGGGTGGCCTCTAGGGGGCGCTGCTCCCGCCTTACAGTTCTGGCCTAAGGGTGCTCACCCAGACCCTCCCTTATCTGAGAAAGGCTGGATCTTTCAAACACACTTCACTAAAGGCTTGGGAACAGCAGGAGAAATAAAGATCCGGAGGTCTGTGAATTTGGAGAAAATGATCAACAAAGGCGTTGCATCTGGGGCTGGCTGAATCCCCCTTATCTAGGGACAGAGGGAGGTGCCCAGGGTGTTCTCAATACCTCAGCCGGGCTCTCTTCATGTTTCCATTTCCTCTCAACCCTTCTGGAGCTGGGGCGGGGCGGACGGGCACATAGTTTTGACAGGCAATTCAAATTTTAGGAGTCCACCCTTCAGAACATCACTGATGTTCACTGCAGCCCTGTTTGTGATAT